TGGTTCCTTACACATGGCACCTGGCATGGTTCAGGGACCACACGTGTGCTTCTCACTGAAAGGGAACTTAACGGTTAAGATTCAAGTGTGTAATGTTGAGAACTTTCGACTTGTGGAGAATCATAAAATCACAGTAAGTTGCAGATTTGGGGGAAAAGCAATGCATCATGTTAGCAGGAGTTTCACCTCCTGGGCCCCAGTCCTCCCCAGGTATCAGCTTTCTCTCTCCCTTTTTCTAGACCTTCGTTGCTTGTTTCGCCTGCCAACTGTGTGTGTTTCCTGAAGGTCTCTGGAGGGCAGAAGACAGACTCAGGAAGGTAAGAAGCTTGGAAACTACCTCTGTCTTCCCCTGTCGAAAGTCTCAGTGTTTCTCCCTTTGGGCAGCCTTAATTTAGAGAAGGCCCTAAGAGCTGCCAGGTACGTCACCTTCTTCACTCCAAGAAAGGGATCTTGTAGAAGGAAATCCTAGTTTACAGAGATGACTGGTTCATTTTACCCAGAAGTCCTTTCTTGTGTCTAATTTAAGTTCTCGCAGATACAAGACTTGCCAGTGAAATGGTTGAGGGTGGTGGAAGAATTTAAGAATGGCATAGAATTTTCTTCTGTAGCTCTAGAAGGCACGGTATGGCTTTTAGAACACCTGTGATTTGGGAAACAAACCTGCTCTATTTTCTTTCTGTCTCCACTAAACCTCTAGTCCTCAATGTTTCCTGCCTTATTGCTGTTCTACTCTTCCCCCAACCCCAAGGAAGAGAGTTTTCGCAGGAGAAGCAAGAAACTAAGTTCTCAAGTCCCCAGTCTGCCATCCGTGGTGGAAATCCCCCCTTTTCAGCTAGCCTGGGGGCTGCAGTTTTGTGCCAGGATGGCTGGCCATTGGTGCATGATTCCCTGTGCTCAGCCCAAATTTAATTTGCGTTTCCCTGGGCCCTGCATTTACCATATGGTTATTAAAAGTCAGTGGTTCAGAGCACTGCCTTTGAAACAGCTGACTTCCACGCCTACCTTCACCTCTTAAGTTGTGGGAA